CTTGTTTTTCTGCGGTTGCTACGGCGATGCAGACCCGCCATAGAGCCGCAGCAGACCAAGGCGAGACCGGAGAAGGGCCTGACCCGACGTCCATGGACCTGATGGCTCGGGTGGCCAACCTGTGCGACACCGTCGCGCAACGCCTGGTCCTGGCTGACCACGGACACCAAGGGCAAGGGCCACGACCCCAAGTGCCGGTTCCGTTGTACACGGGCTACGACGACCGGAAGTCCGTGGCCGACTTCCTGGCCGAGCTGGCGGCCTATAAGCTCGCCACGGGAGCCTCGGACGAGTACGTCCTTGCGCGGGTGCTGCCCGTGGCGTTCCAGGCTAGCGCCGCCCGCTGGTGGCGCATCGTGGCCCCCTTCCTCACCTGGGAAGACTTTCGGCGGAAGTTTCAAGATGAGTTTCTTCCACCTGGGTACCAGTCTCGAGTCCAGCGAGAACTGGAGCGCCGGACCCAGCACCCGGACGAGACCCTCGTCGAATATGTACGGGTGATGCAGGAGCTCTATGAAAGAGCCTGCCCAACGACGTCGGAGTCGGACAGGGTTGCTCGGGTGATGCAGCAGAGCCACCCAAGATTCCGGCCCTACCTGCATGGCCGCACGTATTCCACCCTGGAGCAACTGGCCCGGGACGCTCACGGCATACAAGAGACGCTCCTGGCCGAGCTGCAGTATCGGCCTCCGCCACCGCCTGAAGAAGCTCTTGAGCCGTCCTGTGCCTGGCGAGCTCCCGGGCCCAGAAGAGGTCCGACTCAGCGCCAAACCCTGGATGGCGCGGTCTGTCCCCCCCGTGCGCTGGACTCCTACGCCTTCGGGCAATGGGAGCGCGGGAGACCACTCGATGGTTCGGACCCCCGGCTACGTGCCCGGCCGGCTGGATCGAGACTACGGCAGGGTGAAAGCCGTTTAAGGTCCTTCCCCCGCAATGCCAACCGGGGCGCCGATCGCTGGTCCAACGAGGGACACCAAGAAGGGCCGCAACGACAAGCACAGGCAAGCCAGACGCACGGCCCTGACCGGCGCAACTCGGTGCGGTGCTTCGGCTGCGGTCGCCATGGCCACTTCCGGCGTGACTGCCCCGACCTACTGCGCAACAGCAATGCAGCCTCGGGAAACGAGTACGGCCGGTGGCGTTGACCCCTGAACGCCTGCCGGCCGCGATGACCATGGACAACTCGGCAAAACTTCCATCGGTATGTCGAATTCAGCCTGACCTTGAGCTAATTGAGCCTCGTATGACAGTTACAGTGCTCGGAATAGCTGTGGCAGCGCTGATTGATACCGGTGCGAGTCTGTCGCTTATTGGGGACTACCTGATTGAACGGTGCAAAGAGCAGAAAGCCAACCTGCGCGAGACTAACGTGCGCCTACAGCTAGCGTCAGGACCAGAAATGCTCGCGAGTCAAGCCGTGAGGTTACAGATCGGGTTTAACGAGAAAAAACGCCGTCAGCGTTTCGTTTGCTTACCTGGTCTCACGGTACCGATTATTTTGGGGCGAGATTTCATTTTCGGGGAGAACCTGGTTCTGGACTTTCCGAACAAAGGCTACCGGTTGGGTAGTGACGCGCAACTGATTCCATTTACCAGACGAGAGGATTGTATCGTCAGTGTCGATAACGTTGGCGTTAGAACGCCTGCTTTGCGACTCCCATGTGCGGTAAGCGATTCTTTGCAGAAGTGTCCTGCTACGGACCAGCAAAAGCGGCGTCTCCAAAGACTCCTTGAGGAGTTTTCAACGATGTTCACGGAGAACCCCGGCAGAACCGGTGTCTTAAAGCACTCAATTGACACCGGGAATACACGGCCTCTACGCTGCAACCCTCGACCTATCAGCGTACACAAGCGAGCCCTGCTGGACAAGGCGCTCCAAGAGATGATCGACACGGGTGCAGTACGTGAGTCACAGAGCCCTTGGGCCTTCCCGATCGTCCTTGCCCCCAAGAAGGATGGAACGGCTCGGCTTTGCGTCGACTACCGGCGCCTGAATGCGGTAACCGTTCGTGACGCCTACCCGTACCCCTCGATTGAGTCGATCATGTACAACTTGGGAAACGCGAGTTTTTTCACGACTCTTGACTGCAGTCGCGGTTTCCTCCAGATAGAGGTCGAGCCCGCTGACATTGAGAAAACAGCATTCACATGCTACAGAGGGTTGTACGAGTTTGTGCGCATGCCTTTCGGCTTGAGCAACTCTCCTGCCACATTCCAGCGTCTTATGGACATTGTGCTTGGAGACGCACGGCACAACTACGCCATGGCATATATGGATGACGTAGTAGTCTTTTCACGCACGTTTGAAGAACATCTTGTGCACCTTCGGACTATTCTCGAACGCATGCAGAATGCTGGTTTGACAGTTCACCCGGGAAAAATGCAACTGGCAACATCTAAGATTAACCTGCTCGGTTTTGTAATCGACGATGGATCGCTTCGCCCTAATGAGGACAAGCTGAGGGCCATAACTGAGTTTCCTCCCCCACATGATGCAAAGAGTTTGCAGAGATTTCTTGGCATGGTTGGATTTTACCGCCAGTTTATTCCCCACTGTGCAGAGATAACGCGGCCTCTGAACGAACTGCTGCGCAAAGGCGTCAAGTGGCGTTGGACGGAGGCACAGCAAAATGCTTTCCTTCAACTGTCCAGAGCTATTGCTGAGACAGCATCTTTGAAGCTCCCAGACCTCAACCGTCCGTTTGTGCTGCAAACCGATGCGAGCGGCTACGGTTTAGGCGCTGTGCTGCTTCAAGACTTTGATGGTGTCTTACGACCCGTAGCGTTTGCTAGCCATACGTTGACAGCAGCTCAGCGGAATTACAACGTTTGCGAGCTTGAGTGCCTAGCCATCATATTCGCCCTGCAGAAATTCAACATGTATCTTGATGGCGCGCGCTTTGTGATCCAGTCGGATAATGCCGCCTTGTCTTGGCTTCAGCGGCTGGAAAATCCGGCAGGACGATTAGCACGCTGGGCACTAACGCTTCAGAAATATGACTACACTATTGTGCACAAACCAGGCTCACAAAACAAAGTTGCAGACGCTTTGTCGCGCGCTCCGCTCGGCGAAGAGCGCGTGCTCGAGGATGCCAATGTTGTGGCTGCGATAGATGCTGGCTCGCGCTGGGGTACTTTGATTAGCCGAGATGAGCTTCGTGCTGCACAGCAGAACGATGGACTTTGTCGCAGGGTCTCTGAGTGGTTATCTTCACGAGACCGACGTGGCAACAGAGACGCTGACATGGGTTTTGACTCGTACTTGCTGGCCGAAGATGGTCTGCTCCTCCGGTACATACCTCAGATCGACGACGAGGAGGGTGGCTCCACAGACACTCCATTTCGAGCCGTGATACCTCGCCGACTTCGCACGTCCTTCATTAGATACTACCATGACTCTGCTTTGGCTGGTCACAGTAGTGGCTGCAAGACTTTTGAAAAGTTAAGCCGTACTGCAACTTGGCCAGGAATTCGTCAGGACGTGCTGAGGTACGCTCGTTCATGCCCGGTTTGTCAGAAAGCCAAACCGCGCGGTGGTCAGCCCCCTGGTCTCATGCAGCCAGTCGTGAGTCGGTCCCCATGGGAATGCGTTGCTGTCGACGTCATGGGACCTTTCCCACGCAGTCCGCGTGGCAACCAGTACTTGTTGGTTGTCACGGATCACTTTAGCAAGTGGGTGGAGCTATTTGCATTACGGTCGCTGACTTCCAAAAGAATCTGGTCATGTCTGATGGAGACGTTCACACGCTTCGGATTTCCGGCGAAATTGATTAGCGACAACGCTACCTACTTTGCCAGCAAAGTGTTCCGAGACTCATGTGCCGCATTGGGCATACAACACAAGCGGACGTCTCCCTATCACCCACAGGCAAACATCACTGAGCGGGTGAACCGAAACCTGAAATCGATGTTAATAGCTCACACCGAACGTCACCCTGACTGGGACGCAAAACTCCCAGAGCTCGCGTTCGCAACACGCACAACCGTTAACCGGTCTACAGGTTTTACGCCAGCCTGCCTTAATTTCGGAAAAGAGCTGACTTTCCCCGCTGGAAAACACTTGCACGACCAACAACCGTGGCGCTGCTCGCTCATACGGTCAGTTTGCAGGAAGCCTACGACGCAGACTCAGGGACATCGTTCGTGATGCCCGGGAGAGCTTGGACGCCGCACGGCTTCAGCAGGCTGAGCAGTACAATCGTGGCCACCGGGACGTGCAATTTGAAGTTGGAGATCTTGTACTCCGGCGGACACACCCACTTAGTGACGCCTCCAGAGGTTTCACAGCTTCCCTGGCAAACAGGTGGGATGGTCCGTATCGAGTGCGAGACAAGGTCTCACGCCTCACGTACACGCTCGTTCATTGTGAGTCTGGACGACTCGCTGGACCCGTTGATGTCACCAACCTCAAACGGTATTATGAATCGGATGACGAAGTTCTCTCGCAGGTGGAGAGTGATGCCGATCCTGGTTATACTTAATTCTGCGAGGACTTTTCCTGATGTTGGTGACGAAGACGAAGACGAAGACTTAGAAAATGCGCGTTGCATTAGGCTTTGACGAGAACTAGTTTCCGCACCATACAGATTGTGCGCGTAGTTCTGTGCGATATACACCGACAGTGTGCTCGCAAATTTAGCCAGTCTATTGCCGCGCCCAACGTATTGACGCTTTCTTGTAGAAGCCTCTCCAGAAGACAACTGTTGATTCTTTTTTTTTTTCCTTTCGTTCTTTTCGAACCTTCGACATACATGTCTCGCTACCGCCTCAACCGTTGCCGGAGGTTCTCTCAACCCCTTCGATGAGCCACGTGGTTTCGGGGACTACGGCAACGCAGTGGGCGGCCGAGGACCCTCTACCGGCCCTAGCTACGCCGCAAGATCAGCAGCCCCGACTGCGGCTACAACGACGGCTACGGGGCGCAGACCAACGGAGACCAGGACCGCAACGAAGGTCCTGCTGACCGTTACGTTGCCAGCCACGGCCCCGGGGGTACTCACTCGTCCCCAAGCGGCGGGTCCACACCACGGGTCTCTGCTGATTGTGTGCGGCCTCAAGTTTAACAAGATGAACGCCGAGAAGCTCTTTAACCTGCTCTGCCTGTACGGCAACGTCGTCAAGATCACTAAAGAACAAGAACGGCTGTGTCATGATGCAGATCAGGACTTCATGGGCAACTGCAACAACCGCATCACCAATTCGGAGGCGACCGCATCCAGCCGCCTGCATCGTGACAACCCCCTCCTCCTCTACCACCAACAACCAGAGAGAACAGCCACGGAGCCAGATGACAGAGAAGGGGGGAGGGGGGGGGAAAGTTTGTGGGATTTGCGGCCCATCATCGGGCAAAAGAACGTGTGCTCCGCGCCCGGCGCGCAACGTGCGCGCGAGCCACGCTCGAGGCTCGGGGGGCTCGGCAGTCGGTTCGCTGCCGCCAGACAGTAAAGGTGTGTTTATGAGATCTGCCTCGTTGGTCCTTCTTGCGGGTGAGCAGTAGCACCGAACCCTACAACCTCAAGCCCGCCCCTGGCCATTTCGAACTGGATGAGTATCGTAAAACGGTGTGTTCGTGTGATCACTACTGCGTAATGCACGCTACGCTTGTTGCAGTGGTTGCAGGTACGCGCGGCGCAGAGCGGTCGCTCCGGTTGCAACGGACGCAGTCGTAGGTAACGCGCTCGTTGCAAATGTCTGAACCAGCCTTCCCTGCCCTCCCGAGGCGAAATTCAACGTCGCGACATCGTTTGACATCACGTACCAGAGGTTCGCTGCTATGCCAAACGTTGGTTTGGTTACGACTTGCCTCAACCGCAAATCAAAAAACGCCCGAAAAGGTCTGTGTTTCATCGTCCTCGGAACCCGAACACGACTCCGAAGGGCTGCTATCGTCCACATCACACGTCGGAGTGGCGGCATAGGAAATCATGCCCAGGTTGGCTGTCCGCCGAAGAGTGTCAACCATATGGCGTCAGGTCGTCGAGCGTAGATAACTCCGCCATGATCGAATATCGAAAGACAAAGAGGTTCGGCCGATGCGGCTACCTCGGGATCACTGCGCGACGGGACGTCGTCCAACGCCATTGGCCCGAGATCGTTTTGATATGCGTGCGATGCCCAATGAGAGTGGTTTCGTTTTCGGATGGATCCGAGGTTTGGCGGCCTTCAATTACATTTTTATTAAAGAAATAATCACCGTATGACTATATCTTTTGGCTTTTAGGGATACTTAGGGCGTCTATATTCAGTTGTCATCATCAAAACACGAACTCAAAAACCACTTGAGTGCTTCTTTAATGATGGGCGGTGGAAATCCTATTCCATCTGGATAGACGTTATAGTCGGAAAGAATGAACACTAATTCGGGACGAAAAACAGACGCAGAAAGTACAGACGAAAAACAGATGCGTCTGTTTTTCGTCCCGAATTTGTGTTTATTCCCCTTTCCGACTGTTCAAAGTATATTTACACACACGCTCGTTTTTAATGTTAGACGTTATAGCGTTTTCAAGTTGTAGCTTTCTCTCTGAACGAAGGTTATATAAACTATGTCCTCTCACGCTGGTCAAAAGTAGACTAAATATTGTCGATTGAATTTGATGCAAGCTTTTAATGCCTTCAGTCTTGAGACATATGTCTGATATCATTCTAACTGGATTGGACAGAAAGTCGCCAGATTCGCTAAGAATTCGCAAGAAATTTTATTATATTCCGTAAAAGTGACGCTTTGGTTACAAACTCGTCCACGAGACCGCGGTAGAGGCCAGTAAATAGATTTTCATGCTGGCAGTCGGCCCTCCAATGGACCTATTGCTAAATTACATAAGCATAAAGGAGCATGGTAGGAATGTTTGTCTGCGCGCCGCACGCGCTCGCCTTCCCCATATAAAATATTCGGAGTGACCAAAATAAAAATGGCGTCTTACAAGTGCGTTCGGCAACGCCTTAGTATGGTCATTTACTTCGAATCTTTTATACGGGAAACGCGAGCGCGTGCGGTGCGCGGACCTGTATTCCCGGCGTTCTTGTTGACGCTTTGGGTAATTTAGAACAAGGTCTATTACTCGGTATTAAAACACAGCAATCCAGTTTCCCCGCTAAATTTAGTGGTGGAAATCGACGTCACGTGACGTGATGCCACGCGCATTTACAGCACTACACTGATGTTGCCACGCGAAGTGCGCAGGCGCGACCAGTCCGGAAGTGCTACCGCCGCCATGCTACTTGTAGTCACTGCTGTCCGACTTCCCGACTGCATAGGGCTGTAGTGCGCGTACATCATCCTACATCATCGATTGGGACGCCCTGATATCAGCTTGGACTCTCCTGCATGCCTTTATTACATAGGATTATGTTGTTTGTGATGCCTGAGTTTGTCAGCAAGCGTAGAAAAGCCGTTCCGTTTGCCTTATCGATTTAGAACTGCTTTGTCGTCTGCTTCGTCGTCGTCAGCCTCTTCGTCTTCGTGAACACGTGAATACAATGCGTTCACGCAGTGGTCCCTGCAGTGCAGCCACGGGGAAAACAACGACGCCACTGCTCGGACGTCTCAATGATCTTAGAAACCAGTGAACATCTAGTTCAATGGCAAAGAACATAAAACTTTAAGGGGCCATCGGCTCGGTAGAGCACCGCAGAACAGCATCAAATGTGTCGGTGGAAACTGTGCATGGCAGTGCTCAGGCTTGTGCATAAGGTTTATTTGGCAATGAAGTTAGAAAACCTAAATAGACTTTCTCGGGGAGCGACAGTACTCTAAAAGTCATTTCATTCTGGTTGACACCCTGTGCGGCAAGGTACAGACGAATTGCGTGGAGAAGCCTGCACACAAAGAAGAAACAATTTACAGAAAACACATGCCTGACGCTCCGTAACAACTAGTATTTTTCAAAAAGCAGAAACAATGCCAGATACCCGAAATATTTGGGTCGAGATGAGCTTTCGTGCACAATTTCTATTCAGTTTTACTTTGTTTGCGTAAGCTCCGACCGCTGAATGTCGCCCATCGGTGGAATCGTTTTTCTGCGCTCTCGATTGGTGTTGATGTAGAATGGATCAGTATCATGATCCTAATAGACCACCACAAAATTCGTGAAGGCTCATTTTCTAACTTTTTCGTGGTAAATGTTGCATTTTAAACTTGCATTATGCAATGTTTTCACGCTTTGTGAAAAAAAAAAAAAGACTGCTTTTGAAAAAAGTTTTTTTATTTCAAGTGACGCATATTGGGAATCGCTGTTCCTTTTTTAGTGGTTGTCCTTATCTTTCGAAGCGCGGCTGGGCTCGAAACATGTCGCAATATTAGTCATCGAGCCAAACGTGTCTTAAAAACGGCCGTCGCAAAGCAGTGCGGACGTCCCGATTGAGATAGATCAGCGGATAAGCCGGAACCGGAACGAGCGCTCAGGGAGATTCCAACGTACGGAACACTTCAGCACGTCCTACTATGTCTCGTGCCCTGTAATCTTACACCCTATAGCTAAGGTGCAACGGGGTGAATACAAATTATAAAGCAAATCACTAAACAACTCTAAAAACACTATTTTTTTCCGCTGCTCTGTCCGGCTCTGTTTACCTTTCTTAGTTACTCTCTTCGGGCGCTGATTTCTTTCGGGAAAACATAAAATCCTATGCATTTCTGCATGATGCTGTAATTGTACCACTCTGGCACACAACGGGTGAAGCCACCTATTTAAAAGCGCCAGTAAACACCCGATGGAAAGTCTCGTGCTAACCCGAAAATTTCCAAACGCTGGTCGTACAACGGGCATCGCGGCCGGAAAACTGTGGAGAACCACAGGTACCAGAATGCCCCGCGACAGTGGTGGCGTCGCGCAACTCCCGATGACCATCGCTCTATTCAGCATTCCCACTCTATGTGGTAGGCAAATATACTCCACGTGACACACCAATCCCTTCTCCTTATCCCTCTTCTTTCTTCCCCCTTCCTTTCTTCCAGACCCCCCCCCCCCCTTCCAACCAGCACCTTTTAGATAATCCTAGGTGGTGTAGCCCCTAGAGTGTCCTCTCCACGCCTCTCCCCTCCCCTCTTACCCTTCCCTCTCAATCCCCATATCTCTACCAACCTCCTACAGTGCCCTCCCCCCCCCCCCCCCTGGTCATGTGACACACCAATTCAGTTTGGGGAAATATTCGCGTCATGTTACACCAATTCCCTGTCCCCATACCCCTCCTTTCTTTCCTCTCGTCCGCTCACTCTCCTCATCTTCCTTAGTGCCCACTCCCCCTCTCCATCTTCCTCCCTTCCCCTTCCTCCCACTCTCTGGTAACGTGATACACCAATTCAGTTTCCCCAAAGTTTATAAAAAAATATGGTTCTTCACTTTCCGAACGACTGTTTAATATGCCTCTTGAGCAATTGAAGCAATCGCTGGTAAAAACTGCATTTCATGCACTAAAGGACTTAGGAGGTAAAGGTTGCTTTTCCAATTTGCACGAACCTCTTTTTTGAGGACATTGCATCATTCTGTCTGATATGCCACCGCGCACACAATCTCACCGTGATACACCTCCGCGCCTACTAGAGTAATTAATAGTAGTCAGTTCATATATAACCACGCAGCCCACATTCTTACTCAGCTGAGGGTGTTGGAGCAGACAGGGCATCGTTAACGCAACGCTTAGCCCCCTCACCCCGCAGCACCTTGGCGCATCGTCGTCATTGGTCGCGCGTGCTATGACGTCTAACCCAAAGTTGCACTCTGCTGCTGCCACGCGACAAACATCTACACGAGCAAGCATATTTCGTGCAGGGTTCCCAAATAATGTTAATTTTGTCGCCTTAATGGTTGTGCAGCCGGAAACGCTTGCAGAATATGCGAGAAGAAAAGTATGGGAAGTTAAGTCGCACCGAAATCTCGTACGTAACTCCAACGATCGAAACCCTCTATGCAATAGAAACGCAACCTGACCAAAAGAGACTGGCTAAATTCATACTAATTTTAACAATATAATTTCAGTGCGTACTCCTCTCAAGGCTTACCACCTCTCAAAATGTAAGATAGTACCACACTAAGCGTATCTGAAATTGAGGCATATCACCCACTTAAACATTTGTTCTCGTAAAGTTCCGGGACCTTTCTGGTTACGTCGCTGTGCCACCATTTTTTGCTACTTAGGCTAGGCATGTCTGC